GTGTATATGGATATGTTTGGAAGTATTATTTGAGTGACTAGCAAAATGCAGAAAATGAGGTGTACATGGTGTTGGGTTCGCCTGTACCGTACGGGCTATACGCAGCGGAATTTAAAATTTTTCAAAACAAGTATTTAACACTTAAATACTTAACCCGTATATACATATGGCGGATTAACAAATCGTCATCTTTAAAAACATGTAATAATACAATTTTGATTTGTTACAAGTAATATCAAATATTACCTAATATGTCTTGAACTCCTTCAAAGACGACGGTAGTTGAGGAAATCGGTTCCTGGTTGAACAACGATCGCTTCGGAGTGCTCGCTTTAGGAATCCACGTGTCTTCCCTCTAAGAGTATTCACCGCTTGTATTCCAATACCGAGATGATCCTTCGCTAGTAGGAACTCACTCGATTTTATAACTTAGTATAGAAATATATATATATTATGAGGAGAAAATTACAAGAACTTTTCTTGATATTACAACACTTGAAAAACTAACTCTTTAGCTCTCAACACTTTGTAAAATTGTTAACACAAATTGTAGCAAATATGAACATAAACCATGCCCATATTTATACTAAATTTTTAGTAATAAAATATGTATATGTCTTATATAACTTTTACAAGAAATGATAAATAAATTCAACCATAACAATTTATGACTTGAATAATTTTCACAAGACATGTTAAAATATCTTGTATCATTTCTACAAGTTATTACAACAATATAATAATGTGCAAGATCCTATCTTTCTCATTATTATATTATTATTATTTAATTCTTAATCAATATTAAAAATCAATAATAATAATAAACAAATAATTTTAAACTCTTTTAAAATCATTTGTAAACATATATGTATCATATTAATATTCTCCTCGTATAATAATCATATTATTATTTGGATTTAAATTTTAAAATCGTATTTTAAAATCCAACTATTAATTTAGTAATTACACTAATCACTGAATTAATATCCAAAATATAATTAATTAATCCAATTGATTAATTTAATATATTTTTTTAATTGACATCTAATCAAAATTAGATTTTGTCAATTAATTCTAACTCTTTAGAAATACTAATATTGGTCTTCATACAAATATTGGTGTGACCTTTTAGGTTCACAATTAATACTAGTAGTGGGTTTACAACTATTGGTAATTTGAGTTAATCATATTAACTCTTATTCTTGAATTAACCCCTTAATTCAAGAACCCACATATCATGGGAACACCTAGCAAGTAGCATGAATCTAGTATTACGTGAATAGCGAGTAAACCTATTTGGATTACAAGTCCATACATGTAAAATCCTTTCGACATCCAATTTCCCGATTCAATCTTGGGTATGATATTGTCGAAACCCAAATTGATTTAATAACTATGGTTCCATTTCAAGTTTAGTAATTCGTGTATGAATCTCTATTCATCCTGCCTTGGCCAAGGACTTTGAATTACCAACTATGAAACACATATAGGAAATTCATTTATCTTCATAAGTGTCGAATCCTTTGTTGACCACTGACAAAC